GGCCAAAAAAACCCCAAACGGACACCATAGGCTGGTGCCCGAGGAGGTTGACCCAGGCAGTCACTGGAAGGAACACTGGGGACAGAGATTGGAGTAGATGTAAATTGATCAACTCTATTATCCATGGAGGGCAGAAGACCCCGCACATGGCGTGAAAAAGACTCAGATGGAGGCACAGAAAGGTCTATTTGCACTCCCAGTGTAGCAGTGAAGCGTAGTGCAGAAGCATATGTCTGCAATGTAGGAGGGAAAAATAGCTTCCGAGCCTCAGGATGAGAGATGTTATTTAGAGTATTCAAACGCTGTACCTCTTTCTTCTCCACCCACTTAGGGCAAGACCTAAAGTAGGAGGGGTGGGAACCACTACAATTACAGTGAGGGTCCATTTTGCACTCGTAGGAGTCATGGTCCTTGCAACCACAACGAGCACACGTCACAGAACCACGACAAGATGTCTTTGAGTGACCGAATCGCTGACACTGAAAACATCGAAGAGAGTTGGGAATATAGGGACGTACCTTACAGTTCAAATAACCTGCCTTAATGGCAGCAGGTGGATGTGGTGATGAAAACGTCAAAATTAAAACTGAGGTCGGCACCATAATTCCATCTTGACGAGTGGAGATCCTTCGAACTGCCGAAACTCCTTGATTGGAGAAACCAGCAAGGATCTCCGTCTCGGGGATAGATTTCAAATCCCTCTCAACGATAACTCCTCGTGAGGAATTCAAGGAAGCGTGTGGAGTAACCTCAATGGGTATATCCCCAATGGCCTTTGAATTTAAGAGAAGTTCACTGTGCTCAGGATGGGAAGTTTCTACTAAGATGTCTCCAGAACGTAGCTCCTTTACTGACTTTGGAGAGCCAGCAAGCCCCTCTAAGCCCTTCTGAATAAAAAAGGAGTCATTTGCCCTAAAGATTTATCTGATAGTGAATGCATGAATAAAAGCGAGGTACAGGTGTACTGTGTGATGGAGACTGCTGTTCAGTCTTCTAGGCGTGGTCGTTTACCAATAAGCAGATTTTTTACATTTTTTCTTATTTGGAATGGGGGATCCATAATTAATGAGAGAGATTCAGTGCCCACTAACCCCACCCGCCATGGAGTCCTACGAGGAGACGCACTAAAATGTTAAATAAGGACACTGCAGCAACGCCAGGGTTTCGTGAGCACTATACCCAAACACCAGTATCAGACACGATGTCCACAACACCCGTTGAGAACGCCCAACACTGGTCTACAGGAATTCCAAGGCCAAAGTGGTGTGTTGCAGTGCCCAGACACCACTCAACCACCAGGATCCTCTCCTCCCCTTCACGGGTCGCCGCGCACGGCAAACACGTGGGTGGATGTTTAGCTCCCAGAGAAAGTAACTGAAAATACAGAACCTTCCCTGGGAGGTCCCCTCACCACGTACAGGAATCCACGTCGAGGGGACTACTGGATATATTAACAGTATGCATAATATTATTTATTGATAAATAGGGGTTATCAATCTTGAAATGTTTTTTAAAATATCTTGAATACATATTTACAAACAAAACTACAATGTAATCAGAACTCAAAAGTTCTTCTCTTGCTCATTTTATTCTTAGAAGTTAGAAAATATAAAAAATGCTGTTCAGGCAGATTGGATTGATCATTATTTACTCAATGTACAATTGTCCTCCAGTGAGGTTATTAAGGTACTTCATTCTGCTCCAGGAAAAACAATCATTTGTGGTTTTTATAACACTTATCATTATCAGTGATTTTCTCATGTTTCTCAGTCTGTTAATTTCTATATTATTAATATTCACACCAGGGCTATCTAAGCTAGCTGTCCCTAATTTTTAACTGTTTGTCTAGAAAGAATAAGCTAGTCAACAACAACCACTTCCAACTCTTGGGCTACTCTGATTGGACTATCATTCTTATAAAACACATCATGGTACCAGAATGCAAACCCTCAGATTTAAGTTTATCATTCTAACTAGTAAGTCACAACTGACAGACACTTAATCTGCCAGAATTTGAAAACAAACAAACATACTTTGGATAGTGGTCTAGGACGACATTTCTTAACCTTTCGATGCCTCCATAAACTGCCACAGATGAATAAATTGCAAGTTCAACAAAAAACAACATTACAATTTACATACGAATATTTTGTAAGTTTTTTGTTTGTTCAATTTTGTTTCTGTGAAATCCCATGGACTGTCACCGGTCCTTGGACTCTTAGTTGAGAAACACTGGTCTAGAGCATACATCCCACACTTAAGACAAATTGAAATCACAATAAAAACATGTTTATTTTGGAACAATTCTTCATTGTCAGAAATGAAATTAATGACTATTAAAATTAATAAACTACAGGACAAATTATAATTTTTAATAATTAATTAGAGAATAAAAGACATTAGAAAAATTTCTCCCAAACTGTAAAATACAGTACTTACGAATACTGTCTGTCATTTCACTTAGACTGCCACCTTTAGCTCTTACTAACTCTTCTTGTTTCAGTTTTGAGACCAAAATACAAGATTTAATGTTTTCAGCTTTTCTCATCCATTTGTCTACCTACATTAACACCAGGTTTTCAATTGTTAGTTCAATTAGTAGACCTGATTAAAGTTTAAAAACTAAGTTAACCACACAGTTCTATTAACATAAAGAAGCTAACAAAATAAGAACTGGAAAAGCTGAATTTTGTTGCAATGGAGTTTAAATTAACAGACTAATAGATCCTTAACTGTCACTCAATCTTAGCTCTCCTAACATCAGTTCTAATATTTACATTGCATAAACCAATACTAATTTCTCTGTTTTGTCAAGCTATATTTTTTTATATGAGTAGATATTCATTTGATGATGGATTCTACAACATCTTTGTTCAGTAAGGACACATCAGAGCACATGTAACAATGTCCTGTCACTGTTCAGTAAGGATACATTACATTGTACATAACAAAGTCCTGTCATTGTTCAGTAAGGATACATTAAACTGTACATAACAAAGTCCTGTCATTGTTCAGTAAGGATACATTAAACTGTACATAACAAAGTCCTGTCATTGTT